TGAAGGATAAACTGCAACTATTTACAAGAGGTATCAATGAATATAAACATCCTTTTTTTTCACTTGATTTTTTTTTTCTAAACTTTCCATATTCTTTTCTCTTCTTTCTTCATCTTTTTTACTTTTGTTTCCTCTTTCTTTTTCTTTTGAAGCACTTATCAAATCCCAACTAAATTCTAAGTCCTTCATTTTCTTTTATGGATGTAACACTTAGCACTAACCAAAGTGATAAATGGGAATAAAAATGGATGAAAAGTGGGTAAATCTTGGCAAAAGGGCATATGATGATTTTTTTTAAATAAGGCCAAGGCTCAAATGGGCGAAACAAATGATCTATGTGAAAAAGGGATGGATATTTAGCTATACTAGCTAAAAGAAATGAATGCCTAAATCATTTTTGTGTATACAAATGGCTATTATTGTGTATACAAATGGCTATTATAAGTCTCAACAAAGATTCAAAACAAGTTCTAGAGATAAAATCATAATAAATGTACTCTCTCTTATAGGAAATGAACATTTAGGCTCAAAATTCTCACAAGCTTTTTAGACAAACTATTGTCAATTATTCAAACTTAATCCATTTCCTATTTACTAAAATTCTAGGAAGGTAGAATCGATTTTTAATCACATGTAATTCTCTCAAGTTCAAACCAATCCGACCTTAGGCACATTCACCAAAAAGAACATCAAAATTGATTAAACAAAAAAATGTTTATGAGATTTTCAAAATTTTCAAAATTTGTTTTATCTTTTTTTTTAAAACTATGTACAAATATATACAACCAATTCCTAAAACAAAACAAACTCAAGGACAAGTAAAATAACAAATATAAAGCAAGTATGCCCTCTCCCATATTTAGATTAAACATTGTCCCCAATGTTTAAAGACAGAAAACAAACAAGAAGAGAGAGGGATACTGAAACTCCCCTGACCAACAAACATGGAGAGTTAATAGACAGAAAGACTTTGACAGAGGGATGAGAATGACATATCCTTAAGAGAATAGGTACCTACTAATCATATCAAATAGACAAGTGGATAAGTTGGAAATAAAGAAGTTAGTTACAGACCATCGAGTAAAGTGTTATCAAATATCAGTTACAAACCAAAATAGTAAATGAAACAGTCACAAAGAAAAAATAGCAAAATAACTAAAATGACTAAAAGCAAAATAAATAAAGATATTAATCAAAATAACACAAATCAAGCAGAGTGGAAGCTCAATTCTGTGGTAGGTTCAACTTGAGAAGGATCTATGGATGGAATAGGCAAAGGTGCAACAGATGAGCCAGGCACATCGTGACTAAGTATGTGTAAATGTTGCATGATGAGGCATAAATGCTCTTCTAACCTCTTGACGGCATTCGCTAATGACTCAATTGTTGCTTAACCCACACATTAAAAGGAGGAGAACGAACAGGGGTGGGCCAATTGACTTCTTCCCCTTGTTCTACCGGAGACTGCTCTACCCAAGATGACTTGGCATGCATTTTGTGGTACTTGATGGGCTGACGAGGTTGCTGTTATTCCTCATCATCAATATTGGGAACCTTAGCGGCCAGAAGCAACTCAATAATCAAATGAGGGAAGGCAAGTGCTCTCTTAGTCTTGACATTAATACACCGCTTTATAGAGTCATAGATAATAGCAGCTAGATCAACTAATTTTCTCTCCATAATGCAATAGATGAGAAAAGAATGATCCTTGTTCATTTTGGATGCATTTGATATGGGCATGACATTGTAAGCCACAAAATGAAACCAAAATGTGCTTTGCCTTGTAAGTGTACCCCTCAATAGCCCTCTTTGACAAAAACCAGCAGAGTCAAAACATAAACGCTTGGCCACTACATCCCAATCAGGTGTAAAGGCATTCATCTTGTATTGGCGATAAAGATAGTTAGTAGTGGAAGGGAAGCCATAATAGTTTTGAATAACCTCGACATTAATTACCACTTCCTTGTCACACACCAAGTAAGTGTCATTGCAGTAATAAAATGCATTCGCATAAAATTCCCTAACTAGAGCAGGGATATAATATTGAAATTTTTCATTTGTCAAGTACACCATCCATCCCCTTCACACTAGTGTTTGAAATGCAGCTTTGGAGCATAAAATTGCACAATAGCAGTTAGAAATAAAATTCTTGGATCCCACTAGAGAGATAAATCTATGTTGGCATGCGTGATTCATGAATTTCTCATTGTTGAATGGTTGCTTTGGATTCTTAGCAGCTTTTTGAGAAGAAGAAAATGGAGCAGTCTTGTGTTTAGCTATACTCTTGCGACCTATTGCTAAAACATAAATACAAGACAAGCCACTATAAGTCACAATAAACAAACCATCACAAAAGTAATCACATGCCAAAAATTAAATAGAGATAACCAAATGGAAACAAGAGCCATGCCAACTTGCAAAAGTCGACAAGTCAAAATAAAGGCCCCACTCAAATAATGAGAACTTGTCAACTAAGGTAAATAACCATTATCCAGAAAGCCAAAGCAATATGCACAATATTCAAAGCACCTATCCATAAAAAAACAAATAACACTGCTCACAGCTAAATTTCACATTGAGATATGAATGGGTCCATACAGTGCACAACAAATATTCAATTTAAAGTTTAGAGCGTAAATTCAATAGAACCAATTTCATACCACCAACACTCATTGCAACTCTCACAAGTAATTCAAAGCACATAAGCCAACAATAAACAAGGAAGCATCCAAAATTTCGATCCATGAATCAGCTATTAATCCAGATTCTAGCTCAAAAAGTACCTATGTGAATCCACACCGCTAGTTAAAGGAATCAACTTCAAACCAAAATGCAAAAAAACATACCTTAAGCAAGAGTAATATATATATATATATATATATATTCAAAAGAAGCAGAGGAAATGAAAGCAGTAAACTACAACATGGAAGAGCTATGAGTGTCGGTGTGGATGAGTTTCAAACCTGGTGGAATGAGCATAGTTGCAGACCGAACCATGGGAAGACAGAAATAAAGGTGAAGAGTGGACTGTGAACTGTAAAAGTAAGATTCAGACAATGCAAAACAGAATAGGATGAGGTGAAATGCCGTATGTTGGGACTGATTGAGGGAAAAGGAAGGCGCGATTGGGATAATATGGTTTACGATGAAGCTGGATCAAAGAAGAAAAAAATAAAAAATAATGAAAATCGTGGTGAGGAGAGGCTGTGAACAGGGAATGTAATGGATAGGGAGAAAGAAATGGTCCGAAGATGAAGGAAAGAGGAAATAAAGAAGACAGCAGAGGTGGAGATGCTGCACATGGTGGTGAACAATGGTTGAAGACACAGCTGGCCAGGAAGGTATGAGATGCGACGAAGAGGAATTGTGAACAGTGAAGAAAGTGTACAGAAGTGGAAAACAGAGCAAGGTGACGGTGGAAGAGAGTGAAGATACGGTTGGAGATGCTGAATCGCGGCTGGAAGTGGAGGACTCAGCTTTTAGCGCTGCTCACCAAGGGGCTGAACACGTGGGTTAAGAAGACTCACTGAACTTGACTGCTAAGAAAATGGAGCGTGGAAGCTGTAGCTGAACTTATTGGAGTGAATACCGGGTTGATGGATTGAAGCACGAGAAAAAAAATGATCACAGTGGCGGAGGAAGTTGTACACGACTGAACAGAGGAAAGACAGAGATGAATGCGAAGCTGTTGCCAATGCACGATGGAGAAGAAAGCTGGGACAAGCAAGATGGAGGGACGTTGCACACGGCTGAGTAAGAAGAATGAGTTGCAGACAGGGGTGAAGCACTCTGCTAGGCAAGAAGGACTGAGTTTTACGGCTGAAGGATGAAGAAGGACGAAGATGAAAGAGAAACAACTAGAGTAAGAGCACAGAGGGGTAAAACTGTAAAAAAAATATTTATTTAAATTTATAAAAAAAGCTGCACTTTTTTTTAAGTGCAAATAAAGTAAAATAATCAATAAGATATGTAAAGATATATTTTTTTTGATTTTTCTTAGTAAAATAAAAATAAAAAAACTAAAAATAATATATATATATATATATATATATAATATTCAAAATGAAATATTTTATAGTAATTAAAATAAAATAAAATTTTAGTTAATTTTTTTAACTTTTTTAATTAATTTTTTTTAAGAAAACAATTATTTACAAATTTATTCTTATTAAAAAATTAAGATTTTTTTTAACTCAACAAAAAATTTCGCTTTAGTGAAGCAAAGTTTGGCTCCAGCGAAGATGCTCTCTGTAAGTTGTGATGAAAAGTCACAGAGGCATCTTCCGCTAGAGTGAAATAAGATTTTGCTGTAACGAAGGTGCTCTCTGTAAGTTGTGATGAAAAGTCACAGAGGCATCTTCCGCTATAGTGAAATAAGATTTTGCTGTAGTGAAGGTGCTCTCTGTAAGTTTTGATGAAAAGTCACAGAGGCATCTTCTGCTAGAGCGAAATAAGATTTTGCTGCAGCGAAAGTGCTCTTTGGAATTTTTGATGAAAACACAGGGAGACCTTTTATTGGGACAAAATCCTCTTTTACTGAGGTGAACAAAACAGAGAACAAAAATACTAAAAATCTAAGAGAAATATGCAAATGAAGCAAAAACTCACAAAAAACATAGCCTAAACACCTCCCAATCAACACAATCATTATATCAACCCCACTTCCACACTTCTTAACATTTAATTAAATTTTCAATCCAAAATTTAATCAACACCAGGTCTTGATCCTATGTAAAGACATATAAATATCATCAATTAGGCATAAGGATAGAATACTCCCTCAAAATATTGTTGGCCTATTCTTTGATTCCAAGACTTGGCTTTGAGCTTGTAAATTCTTCAAGAACTCTGCAATCCTACAAACACACCAAAATAAAAGAAGAACAAACCAAAGATAAAGAAAACAAACAAACCAATAACACAAGTAAAGAGAAAATAAACTTGGGTTGCCTCCCAAAAAGCGCTTGGTTTATAGTCTTCAGCCAGACTCTCTCAGATCATCAAGGTGGATCAACCAAGTGGACAACAGACTTCAATCGCTCTATGTCACCGCCCCAATAATGCTTGAGTTGTCCATTAACTTTGAAAGATTTACCCGTTCTTTCATCAAGAACCTCAATTGTTCCATGTGGTGCTACAGAAAGTACTTTAAAAGGGCCGGACCATTGAGATTTTAGCTTCTCAGGAAACAACCTTAGTCTAGAATTGAAAAGAAGAACTAGTTGTCCTGGCTCAAAAGTTCGATGCAAGATATGTTGATCATGCCATTGCTTAGTCCTCTCTTTATATAACTTTGCACTTTCAAAAGCATGGTATCTAAACTCTTCTAACTCATTCAATTGCAAAATCCTTAATGCACCAGCTTGCTTAGAATCCATATTCAATTGTTTAATTGCCAAGTGATAAGGGGACATCCCAATTAGAGTCCGAAAAGCAGTATAATATGCCTAAAGAGCATCATCTAACATGTCCAACCAATCTTTTCTAGTAGGTCCCACTGTCTTCTCAAGTATCCTCTTGAACTCTCTATTGGTTAGCTCATAAAGGCCATTGGTTTGTGGATAATAAGCAAGTGACATCTGGTGGTGAACTCCATATTTTGACAAAAGAGCTTTGAATTACTTATTGTAGAAATGAGTTCCCTCATCAATGATAATAGATCTAGGAGTGCCAAACCTTATAAAAATGTTCTTCTTCAAGAACCGGATCACAGTATTGCCATCATTGGATTGACAAGCCATAGCTTCCGCCCACTTGCTTACTTACTCTATAGCAACAAGTATGTATTGATTGCCTCTTGAAGAAGGAAATGGTCTCTTAAAATCCATCCCCTATATATCAAACAATTCCACTTCTAAAATTCCACATTAAGGCATCTCATGTTGCCATGAAATATTACCTATCCTTTGACATCTATCACACTTGGTAATAAAATGGTGAGCATCTTTAAATAAAGAAGGCCAATAAAATCTGAATTCAAGAAATTTAGATGCGGTCCTTTACCCTCTATAATGCCCCCATATGCAAATGCATGACATGTATATAAAATGGCTTCTTGTTCTATTTCAGGAACACATTTTCTAATGATCAAATCAGCACATCTTTTAAATAAAAATGGTTCATCCCAAATATAAAAGTCAATATCATGCAAAAATTTCTTCTTTTGAAAAGGCTTCAAATCAAGAGGTAATACTCTACACATATATCCACATACCATGGTAAATCATAAGTACCAACAATAAATAATTGCTCATCAGGAAAATTTTCAACAATCAACAAGTTATCACCATAATAAAAAACATGAACAAGTCTAGACAAGTGATTAGTAACCTGATTTTCAATTCCTTTCCTATCAATAATTTTCACATTAAATTCTTGCCATAACAAAACCCATCTAATGAGCCTAGATTTAGATTCTTTCTTATTCAACAAATATCTAAAAGCAGCATGATCAATATGAACTATAACCTTAGCACCCATCAGATAGACTTTAAACTTTTCAAAAGCAAAAATAATAGCAAGCATTTCTTTTTTAGTAGTTGAGTAATTTACCTGTGCCCTAGCTAAAGTCTTGCTTGCATAGTAGATAGGATGAAAAATCTTTTCATGCCTTTGTCCAAGCACTGCTCCAATAGTAAAATCACTTGCATCACACATGACTTCAAAAGGTAGTGACCAATCAGGAGCAACAATAATAGGGGTAGATGTTAATCTACTTTCAACTCTTTAAAGGCCTTTGTACACTCTTTATTGAAATTGAAAGAAGTGTCTTTTTGAAGAAGTTGAGATAAAGGCTTTGAAATCTTTGAGAAATCCTTGATAAATTGACGATAGAAACCAGCATGCCCTAAGAAACTTCTCACAGCCTTTACATTAGTAGGCGGTGACAACTGCTCAATAATTAAAGTCTTAGCCCGATCAACCTCAAGACACTTCTTGGAGACTTTGTGACCTAAAACAATACCTTCTGTTACCATAAAATGGCATTTTTAATTAAGCACAAGGTTAGTCTCCTCACATCTTTTCAACACTTTAGCCAAGTTGGACAAGCATTGTTCAAATGATTCTCCAAAAATAGAGAAGTCATCCATAAACACCTCCATAATCTCTTCAATCATATCAGAAAAGATGCACATCATGCACCTTTGAAAAGTGATGAGTGCATTACAAAGACCAAATGGCATCCTGCTAAAGGCAAAAGTGCCATAAGGATAAGTAAAAGTTGTTTTCTCTTAGTCCTCAAGAGCTATAGCAATTTGATTGTTGCCTAAATAACCATCCAAGAAGCAAAAGAACTCCTTACCAACCAATCTATCCAGTATTTGGTCAATGAAAGGAAGAGGAAATTGATCCTTTCTTGTGGCATCATTTAACTTATAATTCATACAAATGTGCCATCTAGTAACTGTTCAAGTCAGAATTAACTCATTTTGTTCATTGCTAACCACTGTCATTCCTCCTTTCTTAGGAACACATTGTACCAAGTTAACCCATGCACTATCAGAAATGGGATAGGTTATCCCAAAATCTAACCACTTGAGTAGTTCCTTCTTGACCACTTCTTTCATCACAGGGTTCAATCTTCTCTGATTTTAAACAAACTTCTTATGATCTTCCTCTAACAAAATCTTGTGCATCATAATAGATGGACTTATACCTTTGATGTCTGCAATTGTCCACCCTAAAGCTTGCTTGTGATCTCGAATAACCCTTAGTAATCTCTCTCTTTTATCATCAAATAAAGCAAAAGAGATGATAATAAGTAATGTCTCAGATTCACCCAAATAAGCATTAGTTAGGTGAGGTGGCAAAGGCTTAAGCTCTAATGTTGGTGCTTGCTCAATTAAGGGTTTTAGGGATGGAGCTTGTCTAGATTCTAGCTTTAAAGATTCAAATACCCTTTTGGAATTGAGATAGTAAGGAGATGCTTGAAGAAGCTTCTTACATTCAACAATATCACCATTTTCAACCACATCATTTCCCAATAATATAGCATGTAGTGAGTCTTTCATAACAAAAGACTCTAAAGTCTCTCAAACTACCTCATCTAGAATATCTACTCTAGAACAAATTTCAGATTCCCCGGGATACTTCATTGCTTTGTGCATGTTAAAGCTAACTTCTTCATTATTCACTCTAAGTTTGATCTCTCCTCTCTTAACATCAATGAGAGCTCATGCTGTAGCTAAAAATGGTCTACCCATAATGAGTGGGAGATCTCTATCTTCATCACAATCCAAGACAATGAAATTAATAGGGCAAATAAATTTATCAACCTTAACCAAAACATCCTCAATTTTACCTTTAAGAAAAGCCAAACTTCTATTGGCTAATTGAAGAGTCACTGACGTGCGACTAGCTTCACCAAGTTACAATTTTCTAAACACAGAAAGTGGCATCAAATTGATACTTGAGCCTAAATCACATAATGCCCCATGTTGAAATTTGTCTCCAATCACATAAGGAATTGAGAAGCTACTTGGATCATGGCATTTAGGAGGTAGCTTGTTTAAGAGAATAGCACTACACTCTTCAGTAAGCACAACCGTTTCACACTCACCCAATCTCCGCTTCTTACTCAACATCTCTTTCAAGAATTTAGCATATTAAGGCATTTTTTTTAAAGCTTCAATGAGAGGAATGTTGATGTGCAATTGCTTAAAATTTCCCAAGAATTTCTTGTATTGCTCCTCTAATGCCTTCTTTTAAAATCTTTGAGGGAATGGTAAGGGTGGCACCCAAGTAAGATGATTACTAGTCAATCCCTCTTTCTTAAATGTTTTCACTACCTCTTTTGAAGACTCCTTCTTAATGTCATCTTTAACAATCACAATTTTAGCTTTAAGAGGCATAGAAGATACCTCTTGCTCAGTTTAATCAACTTTTGGCTTAGATGTAGACTCAGGTGCAGGAGAGGAAATTTTAGATAATTTCTTTTCACTCCTTAAGGTAATTGCCTTGCACTCCTTATTTCCTTCTCTATGAGTATTAGTCTCCATATTTCTTGGTAATCCTCCTTTAGAAGTGTAGTCACAACAGTTGCAATTTACCCTATTTGAACCTCAAATTTTTAAGGGATGAATCAACTCTTGTATTAATGGTCGCTTATTCTTGATTGCTCTTAATCTGAGAACTCATCAACTTAGCCATCATATCTTCTAAGTCAACTTTCGGCTCTTGAATAGAAATAGACCACTTTTCAACTTGAGGAAAACCCAGAGGAATAATTGGCTTTGCACCAAAAGATGAAGCTAGATTGAGGGTTGCACTATTTCTCCAAGAAAAGTTAGGATTCTAACGCCATTTGGGATTGTAAGTGTTTGAAAATGGGTTTACTTGATTATTACCATGATAATTCCCAGCATAATTGACTGTCTTAATTTGTTGAGATAGATGGCATTGGTCAGTCACATGTGCATCTCCATAATAATCACACTGAGCATATATGGCATGAGCTCCCATTGGCCTACCATTGTTTCGATCAACACGTGCTTCTAGACGGTTAAATCTTTTACTCAAATTCTGAAGCATAGCTACCACTTGTGAAGATGAAGAGTTATCAACAACTCTTTCTAATGGTCTCCCAAGTCTTCTGTCATTGTTGTTTTGAATATAATCAACAGTAAGATCATCTAAACAGTTCTAGACATAGTTCACCGGTTGCTTTGTAATCCCACCATTAGTGACTGAATTCATTTCAGACTTGGATTCTAGTGTCAACTGGCTACTAAAGACTTGAATTAAAACTCATTTCTCTTGATTATGCCATAAACTTTGCTTCACCAATTGCTTGAACCTTTCCTAAGCCTCATACATATGTTCATTAAACTGTTGATTAAAATTGAGAATGTTAGCTCTAGAATCAACCATCTTATTGTGTAGGAAAAATCTAGATCTGAACTTGCTTTCCATTTCTTCCCATGATGAGACACTGCCTTCATCCAAATTGTTGAGCCAATCCTTAGCTTTCCTTTGTAGAGAGTAAGGGAAGAGTCGAAGATGAATAACATCTTAAGGAACTCCATTTTGCTTTAATGGGTCACAAATGTCAATAAAGTTAACTAAGTATCTGTTAGCGTCCTCATCTCGATTTCCCACAAATTTCCCATTCATCTCAATCATCTTAAGCATGGTTTAATTAATCTCAAAGTTATTTGCTTGGAAGTTAGGTACTTTAATCGCAGACTGGTATCCTCTAACTTGTCTCCCAAGAAATTAGTGACACACAACCTATCATTCTCATCCTCAGCCATCTCTTCATTTGTAACCTTTTCACTAGTTGGTGGTTGAATGTGAGGTGAACTAGCTTCCAAAATCTCTTCCTTATTCTCACAAGTGTTTTTTTCGACTTAGCCCTGCGTGGCATGCAAAATAGTCC